AAATGTACAAATGTGCTTGACAAACTGGATGTATATATGGATTGTGATAAGAGCTGTATGAGCCCCCAATAAAATCATTTTTAAAAAGCTAATTTTCTTTGTAATTCACTCACTTTAAAAATATGAACTCCTCTGAAAACAAAATTAGTTCAATAAATAAATAAATAAATGCACCTATGGAATAAATGAGCAAGAAAAAAAATTAGTTCATAAACAAATGTGGTGAAGAAAGCTGATGATGCCTGGCTATTAAAAGATATAGTGCCTGGGGCCTTAAATATTTGAAATTAAACAAGCGGCCATCTACCAGGGAAGTAACAAAGCCCACATGAAAGAAGCATAGGTTTATTTGTATAATTAAGATCATTCCATGAAAGCCAAGTTAGATAGCTCTTCAGAAACAGTAACAGGAGTAATGATTCCGAGGATACAGGAAGGGGGCGGTGGGGGTGGGGAACGACTGATAGAATGAAGACTGTATAACCCCATTTGATGGGAACGAATAACAGAATTGTAGGTGAATGAATACATTGGATTATGTAAAATATGGCAATAAATAAGTAAATCATATATAACTGTGTGTGTGTGTGTGTGTGTGTGTGTGTGTGTGTGTGTGTGTGTGTGTAGGGTTCCTGAGGGTAGGATGGGGGAGGGAGGGGATATAGGGGAGATGATATCAAGGAGTTCAAGAAGAAACAAAATGTTTGAAACTGACTGTGGTAGCATTTGTACAATAGGGCTTGATGTGATTGAACCATGGAATGTTAAATCTGTAAGAGCTCCCAATAAAATGATTTACAAAAAAAAGAATGAACTCCTCACCTTGCCCAGTTCTATTATACATGAATTTTTGTTACTATGGGTTAAATAACCCCAACTCCATAAGAAAATAGCTCAAATTTCTGTTGATATGGTTCAGTACTGTGAACAGCTGCCAACAAAACTCTGGACCTTGGTAGGTGAAAGATACTGATGCCTGTGTGTGGGAGCAAACTATCTTGAGACGAACTCTGGGAGAGGAAGATGTGCTGCAGTCTCTGAACACGGAGATAGTGGTGCTAGTCCTCTGAATGCAGAGACCTGGAGCAGAAAGCGGTCCTGAGCTTCTGAGCAACAGAGTGCATTAATGGGACATTTGAACCTTATTTTCTTCTCCAAGTAAGACAAGACCATCGCCATATTTCACGGTTTAAGCAACACCGTGGGAAAGAGTTGGCAGCTCAAACTCAGGGAAAGTCTGATCTTCAACTCAGAAAAAGTAAATGCCGTCTCTCCTGTTCTCTGGGAGACTGCTCACACACAGCACTCTGCAGGTGTTCAGTTATGCTCCCCTTCAGACTGTAGACGAAATTGGCTGTAGTATTGCTTCTGCTTGCCTTCAAAGTATATTGTCAACAATCCTCTGTGTGAGAACTTATCAAAGTTTATTGTCAACAAACTCTGTGTTTGAGAACTTGTCATGAGAAATTGTCAACAATCCCTTTGTGTGGGACCTTGTCAGGGAATGCAGGATACTTGAGAACTGTATATAAGCCTGTTTTGAATAAAGTTCTGTGCCTTAGCATTTCTATACTCTTCATGCCTCCTACGCTTCACCTTTGCTCTCTTTATCCTATCTCTTTATCTACCTTTCTCAATTTCAACCGGGCCCCTCTTGAACCCCTCTTCAATTTGTGAGAGAGCCAGATCTCATTTAATCTCACACCTGTAGGGCAGCGTTTCCTTTCCAGGGACACAGAGGATCAGCAGTGGCAACTCTCTCAGACCTTGCCCCCAGGCACCTGTTTGTTTATATCCTGTTTGGCTACAACAAAGTTGTGATCATAAATAGAGTCCTTTTGTTGAGTTCTGTGCATTGTCAATTATCAAACCCATAGGAGTACTGAGAGCCAACAGGTCAGCCATCAATGAGCCCAACTGGCACTCACAAGTCATGTAGCTGGCACCCTGAAAAATCCAGAAATGGGAACCAGAGAGTCCGGAGGAAGGGAGCTCAGAAAGAGCTCCCAGAGTTGAAGTTGACACCCTGAAGAGTTAAGGGACACCTCAAATGTACAGCTAGCAAGTAAATGAGGGTACCATGCGAACTCTCATATTTGCAGACAGAATCTGCCCATTTGCCAGTCTGAGAAACTTGTTAGATGATTAGATTCAGAGAAAGATGTCTTGGGTAGGCAGCTGGTGTCAAGATAGAAGAGGGAAGTGCAAAAACAGTCATTTTAATATTTACCAATGCAATATCATATTCGAGGAAACAAGACTACCCATTCTAAATGACTCTTGATGCTACAAGACGGTGCCTGATAATCTTTTGTAATCACATTCTCTATTTCAGTACATTTAAAAAGATGAATAATCAAAAAATGAAAAGATTCCCAAAAGATAAGATGGTATCGGTTAGATATTATATATGTGGTTGTATAATAAAATGTTAATAATCTCCTTTTCAACAAAAGTTCCTTATGTTTTACAGTATCCTGTTCTTAATATTATAAACTCTGAGCGTATTTCCCAGCAAGAGAAACATGGAGAACTTCCTCATAAGGCACAAAGGCATAAAAGGTCTAAGTGTCAGTTCACTTCTCTCTCCCCAAGACAGAAAGAAAATAGGCCTCATGTCAGGAAAAGCAGCAGCAGTTCAGAAAAAGAAGGCAATTCCAACTCACCCGTATTTGGGGCTTCCTCTTCTTCCCTTGGGGTCTATCGCCATCCACAGAGCCCAAGCCTAAGGGAACAAGCAGGCGCTGTGAGAAAGAACACCCATCGTGCTCCCTGAATAGCTCTTCTGATGATTGCAAGGAAGGATCACCTTTTGCCATTTTCTTCATGATGTCTGTATCTTCTCTGTTCTTTGAAACCATAATCTTCTCCCAGTTCTCCTCTCCCTGGACGGAAGGACCAGCCAACATAATGTCCCAGTCAGTGCAGTATATGCCCTGAAATTCTGCCACAAGCCCAGTTGGAAGTTATTTCATCTCCAATGAATCTCTGCTGCCTGGGGCGGGGGGGTGGGGGTGATGTCAATCCTCACTTAGGAAAGCCCCTCTTGTTCCCATGTATCCAGGCCCTGTGGGATGAAGACGCAAACTAGACGCTGATGAATCCTTCATTTGCTCTAAATCACGGCTTCTTCAGCATGGATCCTGTCCTCTCCCATCATCCTCAGCCAACAATGACAGCTGTCAATCGACTTGGGTTCTCTGGATTGTCTATCTTTATTCATCTCTGGCCTACAAGCCCTCTCCTACACTCTGCCTTATCAAAATCACTGCCCCACAACTGACATTCAAGCTCCATGTCTCAGATCAGTTTCTGCACAAGTCAGAGAGAAGACAGGATACAGCTCAAGGCCTGGGGAAGCCTGTAAGCTCTCCCTGCAGACCAGGCAGAGCACGCAGCAGTCTGCTTCTGACTCCCCAATCTGATTCCAGGTGTGGTCCATTCCCTATGTTCCTGTTCTCTGAGAATTTGTGGGTCTAAATTGGGTCGTTCTTGGTCTCACCATGGTTTCTGCAAAGACAACACCCCACCTTCCATTTCTGAATGTGTGTGCTATATATGAAACACCCTGGCGAGATCTTAACCCAGATGACTAGAGACTTACTGCCATCTTGTTGCTGTTGTTAGCTGTTAACTCCAGTTCATGGTGATCATGTGTATGCAGAGCAGAACTGATCCATAGGGTTTCCCAGACTGCCCTGTTTTGGGAGGAAAAAAGAGACCTCAAATTCAAATTTGTTGTATAGACACCCACTTAGTAAGTCTTAAACAGGACAAAGACAAAAGCAAATACTTTGATGGGGAGATCAGCAGCAGGAAGTCATAAAGGTGTACAATGATCCACTCAGCCAGCTACTTAAGTAGGATAAGGAACACAAAAGGAACTGACCAATCAGCAGCAGATCAATTCATCACAGTTACAAGCACTGTTGTTGTTAGGTGTCCTTTAGTCTGTTCTGACCCATAGAGACCCAACATCCATCCTCACAATTGACGTCATGTTTGACCTATTGTTGCAGCCACTGTGTCAGTCCATCTTGCTGAGGGCCTCCCTCTTCTCACTGCCCTTCAACTTTACCCATGTTCTTTTCCAGGGAATGGTTCCTCCTGATAACATTCCTAAGTACATGAGTCAAAGCCTTACCTCTAAGAAGAATGCTGGCTGTACTCCTTCCAAGACAGATCTGTTTGTTCTTCTGGCAGTCAATAAGATTGCCTCACCATCCTTGTTTCTACCCAGTGCTCTGAATTTCATCTACAAGACAATTATTTCAAAAATAAATTACAAGGTCTGCCATCTGAGGAACTTCTGGCTAAGTTCAAACTTCCAACCTTTATACTAGGAGTTCAGAGCTTAATCATGTGCACTTTATTTTCAGGTGTAGCAAGCTGAGTCCTATCAGCTCCAAGAACAACAGAATGCAACACTGTCCAGTCCTGCACTAACCATCCTCACAATTGTTCCATTAAAGCCCCTTGTTGCATCCACTGTGGCAATCATCACATGGAGAGTCTTCCGATTTTTCTGATGATCCTCTAAGAAAGCATGTTCTTTTCCAGGGACTGGTCTCTACTAATAACATATTCAAAGTACACCAGACAAAGTCTCCTCATTCCTGCTTCTAAGGTCCATTCTAGGTGTACTTCCTCCCAGACAGATGGCTGTTTCTTCTGGCAGTCCACGCTATTTTATTTATTTATACCATGCTTGACCAACTCACAATTCAAATGCATCAACTGTCCTCTGGATTTCTTTAGTCATTGTGAGGCTTCAGTGTGAGGTAATTGAAAACACCAAGGATCAGGTTCAATTTAATTCTCAAAGTGACATCTTTGCTCTGAACTGTATGCAATTTCTTGACTGTTACTCCCATGACTGTTGAATGTGGATCCAGGTAAAATGAAATATCTTTTCTCTACCATGATTTTATCTACTGGGCTAGCTGAGAGGATTTTGGTTTTCGTAACACTGAGTTGCAATCCATACTGAAGGCTGGATTCTTTGTTCTTCAGCAAGTGCCTCAGGACCTAGCTTTCGGCCAGCGAGGCTGTATCATCTGGATATCAAAGGTTGTTAAAAAGCCTTCTGCCAATGCTGATGCCTCGTTCGTCATAGAACCAGCTTCCAGGACAGTCTGCTCAGCATATAGCCTGAATAAGCATGGTGAAGAGACAGCCTTGACGCACACCGTTCCTGATTTTAAACCATGTAATATGCCCCTGTTCTGTTTGACCAACTGCCTCTTGATCTACAACAGGTTCCACATCAACACAACTAAGCGTCTTGGAATTCCTATTCTTCTCAGTGTCATCCACAGTTTGATATGATACACAGAGAGAAATAACTCTGCAGAAGCAATACAATTAAACAGCCTTTTGGCACTCTACTTTTAGCTAAGATCATTCCATGTCCACCTCTGAATCCAGCATCAATTTCTGGTGCTTCCCTGCTGAGGTATTTGCTACAATCATTTTAAAAATTATCTTCAGCAAAATTTTACTTGCATGTGATATTAAGGATATTGTTAAATAATTTTTATACTCTTTGGGACCACCTTTCTGCCCAGTACCAATTTTAAGACTATCTGAGAGCCCAATAATGCAATCGTTTGACTCATCAAGACAGAGCTGCCTCCTCCCTCTTGAATCCATACTAGACGTGCCACATTAGTCAAACCACATTGTAATTTCTCTAGTTGACTAAGTTGATTTTTTTTTTTTTTGAATGTAAGCTTCTTGTAAGAAGTTCATCATTTTGCTAATCTGTCTCTGTGGGGAATTTTATCATATCCCCCTACTGTCTGCTTCACCAGATGACTTGCCTTAGGCAATTTATGTGAAAGTAAAAGTGTGATTTCTAAACTTTGTCTGATTCCACCATCTCTTTTGTCTTTTTCTTCCGGCATGCGAGTAAAATGTTCCCAAAGGGCTCCTCTTCCCCCCTGGTTCTGTTGGAAAAGGTAATTGTGTAGAAGCAAGAACAATATACAAACGATGAAGAATATGGTTGGGTTTATGTTTATATTAGAATGAATTTTGGTCATCATGCATTACTGCCCTGGTGGTGTAGGGGTTATGAGTTGGGCTGCCATCCACAAGATAGGCAGTTCAAAACCACCAGTGGCTCCTCAGGAGAAAAATGGGACTTTCTACTCCCATAAACATTTACGGTCTTGGAAACTCACTTGGGCAAGTTCTACTCTGTCCTACCATGTCACTACGAGGTGGCATTAACTCAATGGCAGTCAGTTCCTTGAGCGTAACTGCAGCATAATTTAGTCCAAGAAGGTGAATACCACTCTCTTCCTAATATGAACTCATATGAGTGAGTAGCATTATAAAGCAGGTGCTATAGTAAACAGATTCCATTAATCTTCACTACATGTCCAAGATTTAGATACCTATTATTTCCATTTCACAGAGGCAAAAACTGAGAGCTTAAGAAGTTGATTTATTTGTCCTTAAGGTTACATAACTATCAAATGCCAAGACTACAATGGAAGATTCTCATCCCAAAGCCACTTCCTCTTCGCCACTGGCTACCCCTACAATAATATTCACTGAAACCATGACTACTTGAAAAGTTGAGTGACCTGAAGAAGACACTACACCAGGGTGAAGTAACGAAAAGGGTCTGTATGCTGAGGGTGAGCTGTATTATTCTGTAATAAGCAGTAACCTCTGAAAACCTCAGTGACTTAAAGTATTAAAGGCTTGTTTCTTACTCAAGTTCCACGTTCATCATATCTCGATTGTAACTGTAATCAATGTATCTTCACTCCAAGACAACACTGTATCCTCTAGATGGAACATCACCAGTGGAATAATAGAGTAAGGAGTAGAAGAAGGACATGAAAGAATGGTGCACAGTAAACAAAGAAATGTCATGAATAAAAGTCAGGAGAAAATTGGTCTTATGAGTCAGACCCTAAATATGCCCCATTTTCCAAGTTCTCCAAGGTGCTGTGCCAGTCTCTGAAACCACCAACTTGCTCTCCCCCTCCTCTCAGCACTCAACCCCTCGCCCCACCCTCAGCCCCTGCTCGTCACCTGAAATTCACTGCGAAGTCTCACAGAAGTCATGGCCTGTACTTAAGGGTAAGAGATCTGTTGGGATACCACTTGGAAGTAACAGAATGCAGTTGGCCAATCAGGACACCTTAGTTTCAGGTTAACTCATGCGCAGAAATGGTCCCTTCTGATGCAGGTCTCCATCAGGACCTTGGACAGTTCTGCTGTCCTGGCCTTTCTACCATTAGGGCATTTCGGCCACTAACTGGCTGGGTTCATACGTAGCCAATGTAACAGCTCAGCTCCATTCAGCTCTCACATGGCTCTGCTTCTGCACTAGCTGAGCTCTTCTACCCCATACTCTTAAGAGAAAGCCTCAAACACCTTAGCTTTTTAGCCACTTACACAGCCCAGGCCTTATCAGTTACAAGTGCTTCATCACCAGACCAGAGTTCACTCAATTTCCAATTACCCATAAGACGTCATCCAATTCAGGTCTTGATAATCACTAGGCAAAAGTATCAAATTATCCTGTGTTCACAGAAATGCCAATAAAACTGGGAAATTTGACCCCAAAAGATCCAAACCACAGTGGATAGAAAATAACATGGAAGCCACAGCCACTGCCACCACCGCTACCAACCTGTTTCTCCAAAGGACGGAGACAAAGATAATTTCTCAGGTATTGGGGAAAATAATCTCGCAAGCTGTTTTTCCAACCAATCAAGGCAAATAGCCACATAAAATAATGCATTTCACCACTGAGAAAAAAGATTCTATACATAGATGCAAAAAATCCTCAATAAAACCTAGTTGATGAAATGCAGAGGCACCTTAAAAAAAAAACTACATCACGACCAAACATTCTTTATTCTAAAGATGACAAGGCAGTATGTGAGAACTTGTTAAAACCAGGGTAACCTGATACGACCAAGACACTAAGTCTGAGGCAAGTTCTTACTTTCAAAAGACTTGTATCCAGTTGGGTCTTTCTTTTTTTAATTAACATGAGTGTGGTTCTGGCTCTCTAAGATTATCAGAACGGATGCTTGAAACAGATGTTTGAAACAATGCTACTTGAGTGGTTTGACTACAAGATTAGTTGACTGTGTACAACTTTAACTTGTGATTGTCTTGAGTCTTTTGCATCTCAGAGACCCATGTTTGTAAAGAAAAATGCACCTATTTATCGATGTAGGAGCCCTGGTGGAGCAGGAGTTACTAGTTGGGATGCTAATCATAAGGTCAGCAGCATGAAATCACCAGCTGCCTCTTAGGAAAAAGACACGGCTTTCTAGTCCTGTAAAAAGTTAGTCTAGGAAACTCAAAAGGACAGTTCTACCTTTGTCCTACAGGGTCATTCTGAGTAGACATTGACCAATGGCAATGAGTAGTTATCGCTGAGCCATATCAAGCCACTAGAGAGCAAATTAATCCTAGAGCTATAACTTCATCCCCTTCTAGCTAAACAAGAGACTGGTGATGCAGTGAATTACATGTTGATTGATAGCTAATCACAAGATCATCTGTTCAAATCTACCAGCCATTCTGTGGCAGAAAGGTGTGGCTTTCGACTTCTGTAAAGAGTTACAGTCTCAGAGCAGTTCTAGCTTGTCTTATAGTCACTGAGTCAGAATAGGGTATAAAACAGGCTGAGACCAGATCTGGCCCACCTAACACACACAGTGCAGCCACACAGCCCTGTGGGTGAAGTTCTGACATGGCAAGGCTCAAAATGTATTTCCATCAACACCCTGGATGTGGGAAAAAGTCATCTTGGTGGTCCCTACTTTACAATATAGATTGTGCAGACCCCCAAAGGTTATGCTGAATTGTGTGGTGACACCAGCCGATCAGATTTAACTACCCCTCAAGCCCCGCTAGCATACTAGCTTACACAATGAACCCACCAGTCACTGCAAGATAAAGATGGGGATTTCTGTTCTTGTAAAAATGTAGTCTTGGAATCCACTAACAGTGAGTTTGGTTTACAGCTTTGGTGGCATAGCAGATTACATGTTGGGTTGCTAACCACAAGGTCAGCAGTTCAAACCCACCAGCCATTCCAGGCAAGACATATGAGGCACTCTGGTCCCATACAGATTCAGAGCCGTGGAAACCCACAGGGGCAGTTCTACTTTGTCCTATAGGTTTGAAATGATAAATTGCTGCTGGGGCGAGAAACGGTGGTAACCTGCATGAGATGCCTGGTCTGGGCAATAGTCCCTGTAAAGGCCCTTCCCCTTGAAACAGGTTTGGTATGTGGGAAAGCACACTAGACCTACAGGCCTCCAATAGGATATTGCAGGGCAAAAAAAAAAAAAGAAAGAAAAGAGGCAAAGATGCAACAAAGAAATCCACCCCATTTAGAGGAGAGGGAAACACTGTAGGAATGTGAACATTAAGTGGCACCTTCCCAGATGTGTTC